GCTATGAGCTAAATCACTTAACGTACAACCTTGTTTATTGTGACGCAGTTCTCTCAAGTTCTGAGAAACTTCAGGATCATCAACCACATTTGAAAAAAATCCTAGAGGAAACCATGATGTTTAAAAAAAATTAAAACTATTATCGGTAAAATCTTCAAATCATGCCCTGTTTCTAAAAATCAATGTCTTTCTAACACTTCAGAATAACTAACTTTTGTACATAAAAACTTTAAAAAATGCAGCTATTAAAAAAATTCCTCTCAATCGCTGAAAATAATTTCACCACATTTTAATGGCTGTTTCTAATCTGGGCCCTAAAGGGTTAATGCTCCTGAGGGGTGATTTGAGCCTCGGCTGCATGGTGAGTTTGTGAGACAGACCAGCCGGTTCGGACGTTATCAGTCCATTAAATGGACATTATTAGCAGTTATCAGTTCCATAGAATGGCTTCAGACTGTCCTGACAGTGCCCCCTAGTGGGTTACCAGTGCCGTATACGTTGGAATGCAACAATCTGCTACCACCGGAGTCTGGTCTGTTTTCTCTAAAATTAACCTTAGTGGTTTTATGCCTCATTTTAACCAGCTGACAGTCTGAAGCCATTCTATGGGACTGATAACGCTACTAATGTCCATTTAATGGATGATAACATCCGAAGCGGGTGCGACAGACAGAAGAGCGAGGAGCTTGGTAACGCACGCAAAGTTTGACATACCTGTTCTATAACAATGCCTTGAACACATAAAAATTTAATACAAAGTTAGGTTTTAGAGATCAAAGTCACTGGTATCTTGGGAGAGAAGTAAGGGAGAGGTCCACTCACTCAGGACTGACCACTGCTTTGACCTGCAGTTCGTCTCTGCTGCACCTGGCCTCACTGAGAGACCCGCCCTGCTCTGATTGGATAAAAGGGCTCTGGGGTTCATTTGATTTGTTGAAACCAGTGTCCATTTATTCCTGTGTCAGGATTTAAAAAATGGACCCACCACCACTCCTTGAACGACTAGTTGCACCAGAGTGACTGGAAATTTTTCCTAGTCACACTATTAAAAAAAGTAGCATTTGGTTGCACTCTAGTCAGCCCCTCTCAATCTCCTTGAGAGGGGCTGGATCTTTTTCTGCTCTGGAGTTGCTTATGGTGAGAGGGGCCTAGTTGGTGTGGATCTGCTTTCTGCAGCTTGGTGCAGCTTTGCAGTATTGCAGACTCTGTACCAGTCTGTTGTGGTGAAGAGGGAGCTGAGCTGTATGACAAAACTCTCTGTTTACAGGTCAGTCTATGTTCCTACCCACATGGCCACAAACTTTGGGTAGTGATGTGTGATGGATGCTTCTGCCATCACCACATTGTGTTAGTATTGTTTCTTTATAATTTATATTATTTACAGATGAC